CTTGTCGAATCGATGGTCTTGGTGCCCACCTTGCACTCCTTGGGGCACAGCCCCTCACACTTGTGGCAGAAGATGCTGTGGGCAGGAGGACGGGGATGAGATGTGAGCCGGGCACCATGCCACCACGCCACCACGGCCATGCCAGGGGACGCCGGGGACCCCCCTCCCTGACCTGCTCTCATTCCTGGTGTAGCCCGAGGGACACTCAGAGAGGCATTGCCCCTGGTGGATGACGAACTTAGAGGCGTCGCGGGGGTTGTCGGAGACCTTGCGGAGGCTGGCGCAGTATTCTGCAGTGACGCAGCGCCAGCCCTCGTACTCGTAGGTGCGGGGCGGGCAGGAGGGTAGGCAATGCCCGTTGAAGTGGAAGTGGCGGCAGGCAACGCAGGCTCGGTTGTCACGGGGTCGCCCGCAACCCCCCAAGCACTCAGCGTGGCAGCACTCGCCCGCCGCCGTGCACGCTGAGCCCACGCCGCATGGGCACACTGTGAGGAGAGAGACAGCACCGTGGACGAGGAGAATCCTCTGGGTACAGATTCCCTGGCCCCAGATCAGCACGGCGGGGCAGGGGGGCTGGGGTCCACATGGGGGTGAGAGGGAAGAGGTGGGAAGGGCTGGGGGGGGCTGCTGACACCCCCTGGCTCTGGGGGGCAAGGGGAGAGGAGTGGAGGGGTAGATGGAGTGGTGCAGGGATACAGGAATGGAAGGAGGGATGGAGGGATGGAGGGATGGAGGGATGGAGGGATGGAAGGAGGGGTGCGGGGATGTGGGGATAGAATGATGCAGGAAGGCATAGAGGGATGCAAGGATGAAGTGATGAATGGATAGATGGAGGGATGGAGGGATGGAGGGATGGAGGGATGAATGGAGTCATGGAAGGATGGAGGCATGCAGGGACAGATGGAGGGATGCAGGAATGGGCGGAGGAATGGAGGGATGGCCAAATGGTGCACAGGAGGAGGGACAGGTGGGTTGATGGGTGGCTGTGTGACCAGCTGGATGGGTGGATGAAGGGCTGCATGGACAGACGGCAGGACAGACTGATGGATGGGGTGAGGCTCAGCCCATGCCGAGCCCCAGCTGCCCGGTGCAGCCGGTGCTGGGGCAGCAGACGAGGTTACAGCCCCGATAAGGATCTGTGTTTATAGTATGTATTTCATTACCAGGTCTTCTGTTTACAGCAAACGAGCCAGGGAGGGGGCCTGTATTTACCTTGCCGCTGGGAAAACACGGCAGCCAGGAGCTGGCCTCTCCTCCGGAGGATGATACAGCGTGGATCCAGTTACCCCTGCCACACTGCTGGCACAGCATGCTCCCGGTGGCAGGGGAGCAACGGCCATGTGCCAGGGCCTGCCATCCCCTTGCAGCTCCACCAGATTTCCCCAGTGCCCTCCCAGTTTACCCCACAGCAGCCATGGTGCAAACTGGCACCATCCCGGAAAAGCAGCTGGCATGATAGAGCCCCGCGCCGCTGGCACCCACCTTTCTGGCAGTAGCTGGATGTCCAGCAACGATAATCCAGCTGCCCGTTGACGCTGGTCTGTGCGCATGGCTTCTCCACGTCCAGGATGCCCGGGCAGACGTCAGCGCACTCTTCAGCTAACTTATTGCCGATGATGTAGGTGTTGTCCACGGCGTCGGGCAGCAGCAGCCCCCAGTCGATGGTGGAGAGGTGGCAAAGCTCCTGGTTGCGCTCGATACGGACCGAGCCGCGCAGGACATGGCTCAGGCTGTGCAGCCCCACATCCCGCAGATGCGGCATCTCGAAGATGACCAAGGCATAGCTGAAGAAGAGGTTGGTGCCGCGGATGACGGAGAGGTTGGGGAAGAGATCTCGCAGGCTCTCCAGCCCGTAGACACGGAAAAGGAGCAGGTACTCGGTGATCATGAGCAGACGAGGGAAGCTGAGCCCCCGAAAGTCCTCAGCACCCGTGGTGAACATCAGCAGGATCTGCAGGTTGCCCTCGATGATGGAGCAGTTCTCCAGCTTCTGGAGCTGGGACACGTCGTTGCGGATGTCCATGCTGCCACAGACTGGGGTGGCGAGAGGGGGACCCCGTGGGCAGCAGGGATGGGGCAGCTGCCCCCCCACCCCCACCCCCCACCTAGGGATCCCCCTGCTGTACCCACCACCAGGGTCGGAGTGATGCTCGGGGCTGGGGGGGTATGTATTTAATATCCCGGCACTGCCTGTCAAATGTGGCTGCAATTGGTTTGGGCTGTCAGGGAGATGCGAGCAGCTCTGACAGGCAGCCGGCGCGCTGCGGCTCTCCAGGGCACGACGTGTCCATCAGAGGTGATGCTAACAAGGTTTGGCTGCCCAGGCGGCCGTCTCGCCCCCTGTCAGCCCCAGGCCCATGTCCCAGCCCTGCCATCTGCCCCAGGGGGAGCTGGCTGGGGGTGCAGAGGGCTTTCCCCCTTCCCCGAGCTGTGGGGCAGCCATGGGGGGCTCACGGCATCTTCCCTCCCTGTGGATGTGCGGTTACTCAATGGGCTGGCAGCTCCCGTGAGGTCATTCCCATTAACTCCCCGGCACAGTGCCCAGGCAGCTAACGGAGCACGCAAGGCTACCGCGGGCACCCACACAGCACGGCCCCGGCAGTGGGTTCACTGTCCTGGGACTTTTCCTCCTAGATCCCAGCAGGGAGTGGGAGCACAAGGCTAAGCATCTCCCGCTTCCCGGTGCCGGTAGGGATGCAAGAGCCAGGACGAGCCGGCATCTTCCCACCGGCAGCATCTCCGGCCTGAAATCTGATGCCAAGTTATGGTGGAAAGAAGCCACTGAGATCTCGGCAAGTATTTACTGTAAACACCCAGAGTAAACACAGCCGGCTCAGCGTGTACCCTAAACACCAGGCAACACCAGCACCCCAGCTTGGCCACCCATGCCGCAGAGACCCACCAGCCGGCACACAGTACACAGCTTGCCGGCACGGTCCAGGTCCCGGTGGGGGTCCAAGTGCGTGGTTCACACCTCATCTGTCCACAGCCAGCCTGGGCCTGTGGCTCCTAGCCGTACCCCTGTGAACGTGTGCCCAGCGGCATTTTTCCCCTCTCGGTGTCACTCATTAACCATGGGCACCGTGGCCCTGGCAGCTGCCCACAGCAGCAGGATCACGCAGCCAGGCACATGCCACTCACCCCCAGCCCCGCACCGGGGCTCAGGCCTTTGCGGGGGGCTGGTGCTGGCCAGGGGGACCCCTGTCCCCTCCATCCTCCCGTGGGACCGAGGGACTGGCCACGGGTGCAGCACCAGCACCGGAGGTTACAGCCCCTGCTGCCACCGCCACCCTCCCTGACCTTGGCAAAGTCACCCCGCCCCTCCACTGTGCAAGGGGACAGAGGTCCCCCGTGTCCCTGGGGGGGGACAGAGAGGGGACATGGGTTCCTGGTGGGGACAAACACGGTGAGGTGCATCCCCCGGGCAGCTCTTGGCACAGCCCCAGCACCGGGATGCTTCACCCCCTCCCCCTCCATCACTCCCACACACCCCCCCAGCACAACCTCTCAGTGCTCGGGGAAACTGAGGCACAAAGTGGTGGGGAGAGGGGAAAGCAGGACAGACCGACAGACCCCAAAACCAGCCCTTCTGGTGCCCCCAGCATGTCCCAATCAGCAAAACTGGGGCGGGAGCCCAGAGTTCCCTCTCCATGGCCATGAGAGCTGGGACCCACCACTGCCACCCCTCCCCTCCATGCCACCCCCTCCCCAGACATTTTCCGTCCCAGCAGCAGCGCGGGGAGCAGCAGTGCCGGTCCCAGCTCCTGCCCAGCTACAATTTTCCACCATCCCAGCTCCCACTGGGGCCAAGCGATCGATGCCCCTGGCTCCAGCTGAGCCCCCTGCCACGCTCCCCTCTTCCTGTCCCAGCAGCAGGGGGTCCCACACTCTGCCTCTCCTGCCCCAGATCGGGGGGTCCACAGCACACGGGGGGGAAACTGAGGCAGGGAACACCCAAAGAGCTTTGCCTCGGGGTTTGGCTCTTGCAAGCCCCCACCACCCCAGAGCTGACACCCCCCCCAAGCAAGCACCCCCCCCAGCTCCCAGCCACCCCTTTCCAGGCACTTACTTTCAGAAGGAGCCCACACGAGGGGCAGCAGGAGGGGACTGAGGACCAGCAGTGTCACCCCCAGCCGCAGGGCACCCAGTGTCCTCGTCCCCATTCCCAAGTGGGACCCCCGGGGTCCCGTCCCTGTCCCACCTCGGGCGCTGCTGGATGGTGTCCGGCCCCACACGTCGTGTCCAGCTGGCACTCCCCACTGGCACCCGTGGCACGCTGGGATAGGGGTGGCCCCTGCGGTCCTCGTCTAAACCCTGCGGCCCCTTCACTTTTGTTTTCGGCTGCTGCACACAAAATATTTAGCCTGACAACTGTCAGGGCCAGGGCCAGGGCTTGTTTGGGAAATAGAGAGGGGGAAAACAGGGCAGCCCCCCCGCACTGGAGTGGGCTGGGAAGGAAGGGCTGCCTCCTGCCTCAGTTTCCCCAGTTGGAGCAGGAGGATGCAGGTTGCTTTGGTGTGGGGATGCCAGGAAAGAAGCCAAGGACCAATGGAGTGCCCCCCGGAGCAGCACAGAAGGGACCACTCAAGGGTCACGCTCCATCGCAGGGTGGATGCAGAGTGCCAGGATGCCACATCCCTTGGGGTCCCCACACCCCAACAGCCCTGCAGCAAGGAGGAGAGGCTGGAGGAAGCTGCAGGTTCTTGGCACCAGCCGGTGCAGACACAGGAGAGGAGGATGGATGAGGGGGTAGATATTTATTTCTCGCCCTAGGGCCGAGTACAGGCGAGGGTCCCAGCTGTGGGGCAGCCCCAGTCCTGCTGCAGCAGAGACCTGGGGGGGCTGCTGCCCCAGTGACCCCCAAGCAGCACGGAACTGGGAGCACTGGGGCCAGACAGTGCTCCTGCTTCCTGGGATGGGGAGATGGGGGCACCCCCAGGGTTCCTCTCATGGGATGCTCCCTCTTGGGGGGGTCCCCATCTCCTTTCGGGGGGGGGGCCTCAGGAGCAGCTGCTTCTCCGCTGGCGCAGCAGTGTGACAGGGTGGCTGCCCTCCTCCTCCTGGTCACTCTCGCAGTGGCGCTGGGGGCACAGGCGGGCTGGAGGGCAGGGACAGCACCCCCCCGGGGAAAGGACCCCCCCCAGGGGACAGAAACCCCCCTAGGAGAGAGGACGCTCCCAGGGAAGAGGACACCCCCCCCCTGCCCAGGGGCAAGGGCACCCCAGGTGGGGACACACCACATTGCACAGCCCCCCCCCTCCATTTGGGGGGCTGGGCCCCCCCAAATGTCTTCTGCCCCAGCCCATGCTGAGGCGGGGGATCTGGGGGGCTCCTGGCCACTCACCAGCTCCTCGTCCTCCTTCCTCAGGCCACAGAGCAGCCGCGTGCGGCAGAGCCGGTTACAGGCGGACACCATGTTGTAGGAGAGCTGGGGGGGCAAGAGGGCAGGATCCGAGGGGGGGTCGCTCCCTTCTC